CAAAAATGTATAATATTCTTATTTTTCGTTTAAAAATTATTGTAAATATCAGTTTTTAGTGAATTATCTTCTGTAGATACTAAAATATCGCAGTTTTCGTATTTCTGGAAATTACCGTTATATGGGAAGTGGGCGTGGTTACAGTCCGATTTCGCCCATTTCCAATACCAACCTACCTTGGATTAAGGGAAACCTACGTACCAAATTTCGTTGAGATATCTCAATTTTTGCTCGAGTTATCGTGTACACGGACGGACGGACAGACGGACAGACGGACAGACGGACGGACAGACAGACATGGCTTAATCGATTTCTTTTTTCATCCTGATCATTTATGTATACATTTGTCTATATCTATCTCGATTCGTTTTGGCTGTTACAAACAACCGTTATGTGAACAAAATTAATATACCCTTGTGCACAAGTGCGCTCGGGTATAAAAAAATCCGATGACCGAGACTCGAACTCGGATCTTTTGAACGGCACGCCTGTGCTCTGCTCACTCGGCCATTGCGACTGTTGAAGCGACGCGAGCTAAATGATATACAAGTGCTTTCTCTCAAAATATATTTTCATAATGAGTGGTGAATGAGAGAACTTTTTTTAAGACTTATGTGCTAGAATAACAAAAGTCTTTCGAACTAACTTACCATCTCTCTTTCATTTGTCTTACGAAAAACTTTTTACTATCTTAGTCAGAATTACCCTGATAGTCTCTCTCATGTCTACATTACTACGTGTGGACCAGTGATGCCAGGAACTTCGTTAATAAAATCCCGTCCAAATATAACATAAATCCCGTTTTGTACTAAAGTTATAACAGAAATCCCGCGCTATATGTATATATTACACATAAAATGCTTTTAGATGAAGAAACACAAGCCCTTAAGTACATGGGCGGGTAAATTTTTTTTTACCATACGCGTATAGCATAGAAGGATTCTACATGTAATTCTAAGCAAATTTGCTGAAGAAACAATAGGTCTAAAATAAATTTGGAGTGTGCCAAATTGCGAAAATAGGTTTTGAAGTAAATGTGAAATTTTTCACTTTCCGTCCTCTGGTGAAATTTATAAGTAAAAGGTAAGTCCAGAAAAGGATTCCTTATACCATAAACTCGCGTATAGCATGTTTTTAAACAAAATTGAAGCACTTTCTAACTGCACTACAGCAAAATGCTAAGAAACCTATTTTTGCTATTTGGCAAACTGCAAATTGATTTTTGATCCATGGTTTCTTTGGCAAATTTGCTTATAATCACTTGTAGAATCTTGCTGTGCTATACGCGCATAGTCGAAAAACCTCCCATACCAATTGACCCACCGTAATGTACATACAGGGTGTCCCAGAAGTAACGTGCCAAACTTTAGGGGAAGGTAGGTGGGGGGGTGAGCTCCCTGATAAACCAAAAATTTTCAGGTAAAAGTGTCACCGTTTTTGAAATATTTAAATTTTTTCGAATTTAAAAAAAAAAATCGTGCCTTTTCATGTGTTTTCTTTAACTGCAACTACAAACCGGGCAATACTTAGTAAATTTTTTATGTAAAATACTTCCAGATAGTTGCCTCTCCATACTCAAATGCAATGTAGTTAAAATATATTAAGGAACCATCATAAAATTAGGACTATTTCTGGATTTTTAACTTTTTGATATTTTCTTCCCCAACTTTGACTATCTCGGGTGAAAAAAAA